CTTTCATTCAGTCTTTTAGACTTTGTAGAAAGTCCAGGACTTTCTGGCTTTTAGAATCTCCATTGAAAAGTTTTATTCTAATAGGTCTACCTTTTCATATTACCTGATCTTTTTCCCTTTCAGTTTTTAACATTCTTTCCTTGTTTTCTACATTTAGTGTTTTAATTATTATGTGCCATGGGGGGATTTCTTTTCTGGTTCAATCTATTTGGTGTTCTGTATGCTTTTTGTACCTTTCTTTGGGCTAGGGAAATTTCTTCTGTGATTTTGACCTGTAAGTCTTCTCCTTCCTCTATTTCTATTATTTGTAGATTTGGTCTGTTAATTGTGTCCTAAATTTCTTGGATGTTTTGTGCCAGGAGTTTTATATGTTCAACATTTTCTTTGACTGAGGTATCCATTTTTTCTATCTTGTCTCCAATGTGTGAGATTCTTTCTTCCATCTCTTGTAGTCTGTTGGTGAGACTTGCCTCTGAGGTTCCTGTTTGAGTTTCTAAGTTTTTATTTCCAGCTTTCTCTCAGTTTGGGTTTTCTTTAGTTAGTCTATTTCCACTTTCAAGTCTTGAACTGGTTTCTTCACTTCATTATTCATAACTTCTTTAAGGACATCTAACATATTCATGAAGGCTATTTTGAAGTCCTTGTCTTGTGCTTAACTGATACTGTATTTCTTGGAACCTACTGTTGTACAGTTGCTGTACTCTAGTGAAGACTTTTTGTCTTGGCTATGATTTATTGTGTCTTTATGCTAGCTAGAGTCTAGGTATATGTGTTTGGGAAGATTGTAGTTCTTGGTGATACCTAATCTTGTTTTTGTTGGATGAGTGTTTTGTTCTTCGGTTTCTGTTGCCCTTTCTTGTTCTTATGAGAATGTTGTGGCTATGGAGTACCTGGTAGAGTATACTTCTGGGATCCTAATATGTGTGGCCACTGGGTGTTTCAGGTAGAATGCATTTCTAGGTATTGGGAGCAGACAGGAATGTGGATGGGCTAGAGGTGAGGAGTCCACGGGGGGGAAGAAAGTAGGGTGTGCCTGCAGGATCTGAATAGCCCCCTTGGAATGGGAATATAACAGGGAGGAGAGGCCACAGTAGGTAGTCTTCTACAGATCTGGGAATGAGGCTGGGGAGTTGGATTTGGAGGGAAGGAGGGTGTGAAGATTGCCTACCTGCTTCCCTGGCTGGCATAGCCAGTGGATCCCAGGGAATGCCTGAGGGAGTTGGTGTCTGAGACAAAGGGATGGGGTAGTATGGAAGGCTGTGGGAGAATTCTGTGTGACCTTCTGGAGATGAGGTCAAAGAAGAAGATGAGGTTGCAGCATGTGATCTGTATAGAGCTGGAAATGAAGCTAGGAGATTTTATTTAGAGGAGGAAAGGAAAGCAAAGCCTTGATCCTGTCATTGTAGCCCTGTATACAAAGAACAGGATCAGTACTAGCCATTCTTACAGTTTCTTCAACCAATAAAATTAGTCCAAAATTGCAATCCTGATGTGGATTCTTGGGAGAACAGCAAAAGACAGCCACATTATTTGCTGAAACAAGAATGGCCGCTAGTCCACATGCTAATACTTCCTGCTCTGAAGCCCCTAGAGCTTCGTATCCACATTGCTCTCAGCACTACTGTCTTCCAATTTCCTACTAGGGTGGTCCATTAAGTGACATTAGAGTTCACCAACTTTCTTAGTTTATAATCCCCACATCTTCCACGTTCCTCTGAAGATCAGCCTGGTCAGGCCTGTCACAACAGCAATAGCCTGTTTCTTGGTACCATCTTCTGTCTTAGTTATTTTTCTATTGCTGTGACAAAACACCATAACCAAAGAAACTTAGAGAAGGAAGAGTTTATTAGGAACTGTGTTTTCAGAGGGTGAGTTCATGACCATCATGGCCAGCTCCATGGCAGCAGGCAAGCAGACCACCATAGTCCTGGAACAGTATCTGAAAGACTGCATCCTCATCTGCAAAGTCCCCCATCCCACCCCGTGACACACTTCCTCCAACAAGGCCACACTTCCTAATCCTTCCCAAACAGTTCCACCAGTGGGAGACCCAGCCTTCCACTATATGAGTCTATTGGAGCCACTCTCATTCAAACCACCATACATTGTATGTATGTTGTGTTTTCATTCTGCTCTAGGACTTCATAAAATTTCCTTCTTGATTTCTTTAATGACCAATTTATTATTAAATATTGTTGCAGATAGCTTCTTCATTAGGTCAGGATCCTATGTCCACATGGCCTTCTCAATGCTTGGACCTTATTTGGTTTAAACATGTTCAGACCTTATGAATGCTGTCGCAGTCTCTGTGAGTGTACATGTGCATCACTCCTGATATGTCTGGAGCATACTTTCCTTGGAGTCATCCATCACCTGCCTCCTCTTCTGCACAGCTCCCTGAGTCCTGAGGAAAGGGGCTGATGAAATATCCCATTTAAGATTGAGTGCTCTAACATCTCTCACTCTTCAGAACATTGTCCAGTTGTGACTATCTTTGTTAAATTGACATCTCCTGCCGGGCGGTGGTGGCGCATGCCTTTAATCTCAGCACTCGGGAGGCAGAAGCAGGCAGATCTCTGTGAGTTCGAGGCCAGGCGGGACCGAGAGCCTCCAAAACAATACAGAGAAACCCTGTCTCGTAAAACAAAAAAACAAAAAATAAATAAATAAAAATAAATTGACATCTCCTTCAAGAAGAAACTTTTCTAATAATGGCTGAGCAATGGTTAGACTTTACCTTTTCCCTGTGGTAACATGTAGATTACCTTCCAGTACCCTGAGCACTAACCTAGATTTTTTTACACCCTGGTCTCTTAGTCCACCTTGTGCTTCAGAGGGTATTAGACAATATCACCCACAGAAGTCATCTCCGACATGCCCAAATCTGGTCTAACCACCAACCAAGCACTCAGAAGATGTCTACCCCAGTTTTGGTTTTTATATAACTGGTTTTTTTTATAAAAGTACTTTCCTTATGATTATCACAAGCTATGAAGTAAATGTTTATGTATCTAAAACTTTAAAAGTCCAGCTTCTAAAATTTTCACTCAGCATTCAGAAAAAGGAACTACAAATAAGTGAGGGAACTAAAATCTGAGGGAAAAAAGAATGGACTCACACACCACTGCTCCTCTGCATGCTCTTTATTCTTTTTTGTCTCTGTCTCCTATCTCTGTCTCTGTGTGTCTGTCTCTGTCTCTGTCTCTCTCTCTCTGTTTCTTTGTTTCTCTGTATCTTGTCTCTCCCCAGTTCTTAGAGGTACAGGTATATACATTTGCAACAGTAATTCTCTTTACAATACAATGTGAGACTTGAGTTTCTCGGTCAGCAAAGCAGATAAGGTTTACGCACAGCAATAGACTACAACTGCTAGCAGAGACTTTTAGCATCAGTTACTTAGGGCTGTAGGTCAAAGAGAGGGTCTAAGTTTAATTTACACAAGAGACAAAACCTGGAGCCTTCCAGTGCTCTAGCCTCATTGGTAGCACAGGCCTTCAGGAAGGTTTACTTTTCTCTGAGGATGAGCAAGCGGGCTGATTACCTTTGTCTTTGTCTTCTCAGGGCAAACAGGAGAGAGCAGTAAATCTCTGAGCTAAAATCTTGAGTTAATACAACAAGGAGCTTGAGAATCTTTTAGTGCAGGGTTAGTTTAGGTTATCTGCCAGTGAGGTAAAGCCAAGGGCATGCTTATATTTTCTATCCATCTAGGCAACTATGAATCAACAACTTTGGATGTGTAGTGATTTCTATGTCTTTGGATATTTGGGAATGTCTCAGATGGAATTCTTTTGCCTGGGTCCTAAACACTGACCAAATGCCTGTAAATAAGGTAATTGCAGGAAGGCAGATCTCTGCAGTTACAATGAAGAGGGGAACAATGGCCTGATAGTGGGAAACGGACCTCACACATAGCTGAGGAATATAGTCAGTAAACCAGGACCTGTTAACAGAGAACAGATATTTATTTACACATGGCTAGGGAATGTAATCAGTAAAACTCAAAATGCATGAGAGAAATTTGTTCCCAGTAAATGATCAGATGGGGCTGAACTGTGGAAAGTAAATCCCAAGTTTGTTACAGAAAGGATTAAGCTACAGGAAGAATTTACGCAAGACACAGCCAATTCATTCATTACATTATAATGCCATGTACAGCTTTAGTACTGGTTTCATCCTTCAGAAGAATCCTTAATTCTTCTAAGTTATTCATGATGCAAAGGCTGTATAATAACTGTGTTATCTTGTGACTTGTAGCTTATATGAAACCCAAAACTATGCTGGCACCTCTAGCAGAAAGAGACAGAATTGTTACTGTGGCTATTATTCAGATTGTAATTTACTATTTAGATTATTGTATAATACTGGTCTTTATTACTGTCTTGCTAGTCTTTTTCCCAGTCTTAACAAAAGAAAACATAAGGTTGGAAGACTCACTATAAATTCCACTTTTACTATTTTTTTCATATTCATTTATTGTACATGTGTGCTTCCATGCAAGTATTGATCAGAGGACAACTTGCAAAAGTCGGTCTTCTTCCTCTGTTGTCTGAGTTCCAGAAGTCAAGCTTAGGTCATCAGGCTTGGCAGCAGGTACCATTACCCACTGAGCCATCTTGCCAGTCCTCACTTATGCTTTCCTGGTCTCCTGATCTGAGGTTATCCTATTTTTATGTTTTCCAGGCTTTATTAACAAATTCTTTTTTTTATTTAAATTAAAAACAATAGTGTTTTATATACCAGTCTCAGTTATTAGCAATTTTTTTCTTCTGCTTAAACACCATTTACTATCCCTTGTTACTTAATCTTTCTTTTTCAAGCTCATTGACAAATTTTTCTTAAAGGTCAGATATTCTGTACAATATGAGTCTCAGACTGGGCCACATATAGTTGTTGATGAACAAGTAGTATAACCAGTGAACATCTGTTCCTAAGATATTGAATGTCTCAATGCCACATCAAAATTAATAAGTAGAGTATATATGCATGTATTCCTTCCCTAGGTTAATCAGCTTCGAGGCATCCCTAAACTCCTGCAGCTGCTCAAAGTTCAGAATGAAGATGTTCAGCGCGCTGTGTGTGGGGCCTTGAGAAACTTGGTATTTGAAGACAATGACAACAAGTTGGAGGTAGCTGAACTGAATGGAGTGCCTCGCCTACTCCAGGTGCTGAAGCAAACCAGAGACCTGGAGACAAAAAAGCAAATAACAGGTATTTCCTCTTACCAGTGAGAGCCCAACAATGCAGCACCCAGCCGGGTGCTTTATGTCATGGGTTTCTCTTAAGTTTCCTGGAGCGGGAGATGAATGGGCTCATTGATCTCTGCCACTACGGCTTATTTTAGGAATCTAACCTCTTTCTTCTGAAGGAGAAAATATTCTGAAGTTGTTGCTTAAAATTTTAAATTAGAAACTCTGTACACCTATGACTAAATGTTTTTAAAACAGCTTTTGACAAGATTGACTGTGTGAAATTTCTACTTCACTCATAGCCAGCTTTGTGGTTTGAGAATGTGTGGGGATGTGGTGTTATCTCAAACATTCTAAAGGAAAATGAGAAGAAGGATGTCTGTCCAAGTGTTTATTCAACAATCAGCATTCTGGATCTGTGAGGAGGTGAAATGGAGAGGTCCATAAATGCTCATTGTTCAAAGAGCCATTGTCCCTCTCTTTCTGTCACCCGACTCTGCTTTCTATGGCCTTCATAGCTCAAGTGATTTTAAAATGTAGTGTTCACCAAAGAGACTTTAGATTTGGAGATATTATAAGGTATTAAATCTCAGTTTTACTGTCAAAGAAACTGTGGCTCAAAGAATGAAGTTATCAAAAGACTCTAAGAATTAATAATAATAGATACTAGGGTTCTGGCAAATCCTTTTTTTCTTACTATCAGGGCTTGAACCCATACCCTTGTTCATGCTTTGACAAGTTTGCTGCTTGAGAAATCTCTTCATTTTTTTCTATAAAATTTTACCAATATAGTCTAGGTAAAAATATTCAATTTTTATATTTCAGTGTTTTTTTTTTAACTCTGCTAGGCTCTTGTACATGCAGAGCCAGGGAAAACTAGTCCTTACTTTGATATATTATCAGTATAAACTATGAAGGGTAGCACCAAGCTAACATGCTGTATGTCCCAAATGACATTTCTCTCACATCTGCAGAAATTGACAGTGATGCCTTGTTCAGCCAACATTCAGAGCACAACTTCAGCATTGGGAGCTGAGCCTAGGGCTGGGGAATTGTTTTGTTTTTCGTCTACTCAACCAGAGCATAGACTTTGTGTGATAAAAGACCAAACTTTCCATTCAGAGCCCAGCTTTTTCTTCATGTAGCCATGAACCATAAGAAAATCAAGCATATTCTCCTCTTCATAGTCAGAAAAGACTTTTGGGAGGAAGTTGTGTTGTTCTGGATCTTTAAAGGGATGAAAGAGCCTTGGTGTTTGGGAGGAGAATGACAGTGAGTCTTGGCAAAGTGAGCATGACTAGAAGGGAAGGAGGTAGGATCAAGCTTCTGGTCACATGAAGAAACCTGGAAATTAGTGATTGGGTTAGGATACATAGTAGCAGGGATAATTGGGTTATTTTGAGAAAATAATCCATTAAACCACATCTCTTGTACAGATGATAGACTGCTAAAGTCAAAAAGCATTTTGTGATGCTGGTGCCATAGAAACCATTCAGGCATTATAGAGTATCTGCACAACTGATGAGTAGAGCCAGACCTCCCTTTAGGAGGGCATTTAATTGTATTAATTGAACTGAGCTGATAACTTTGGTATTTGATACCAAATTGTTCTAAATTATTCCCTTTAGCTTTAGAACAACTACATAAGTGCTTTCTGGGCCTCAGAAAGAAACTGTTGCTCTAACATAGACAAATCTACATACTAAGAAACCTGTATATGAATCTTCCCTTTATTGATCCTGCTCTCATTTGTATATGACACTGGCATTTCTGATCGTTATTCTTCAGTGACGATGGCAAGATTCCTTCTATGTGAAATCTATATTTTGCTATGTAAAAGTTAAAGGAGATTTGCTTGCATAACTGTATTTCCTCTGGCAGTGGGCAGTAAAACGTGTGCATTAGTAGCTGTTATAAGACCATGTCACTGCTACTTTGTCAGTTTTTTTTAAATATCATCACAGTTGGCCATAAATTTATGGGTAGTGGAATTCTTATAGCCCTTCTAATTGTTATGTACCAAATTATCACTGACCAGAATCTGGTTCCTTTTCTTTTGTGCTAAAATAAGAACCTATTGGTAAAAATTGTGTAGATCTACCTCAGGGGAACAAAAGAAAGAAAAAAATTGAGAAAAACTTGGGTTCTGTGAGTAAACTAACCAGAGTTAAAATAAATGCAAATAAAAACTTAACCCCTAATTATTATATTGCTGAATCTGGACTCTAATCAGTGACATCTGTTCTGAGTCGTGAGGTTTTATAGTAGCACTCATTATTAGATCATTGGTTTCCTAGTGCCAAAATTTTGGGGCTTTTAAGGATGCAAGTTGCTTCCCTAGGTGTGCAGATAGTCCTGATAGGCCTTAAACTTGCCTCGTTTTCTTGACTGTCAGGATTATAAGCAATGCCATATCAAGAATGACTTTATTTTGATTTTTGTTTTTCAAGACAGGGTTTCTCTGTGCAGTCCTGGCTGTCCTGGAACTCACTTTGTAGATCAGGCTAGCTTCAAACTCAAGTGTGGGGTTAAAGGCATGTGCCACCACTGCCTGGCTAGAAAACTTTTCTTAATTGTCCACACTAAAGCAGGGCTCTCATCCCAAAGGGAGTGAGAGATAGTTCTCTCTGAGCCAGATATGACTGACATCTTCTGCGACCCAGATATGTGTTACTCCTGATGTTCCAACATGGTAATGATTTCGTGAAACTTTGATAGTAACAGAACAAACAAGCCATAAATCGAGGTATTTGCTAAATACATTGGTGAAAACATCAGGTAGGTGGGTTTAAGCAAAGTGAAAAAAATCTTTGGAAATCTTAGATACTATTGATGACAGTTTTTGTCTTTGAGTTGGTAGAAGCTGGGATCTATTTGTATATTCCAGAAAGATTTTAACTAAGCCTCAGGGATTATAGGTCATACATAGTAGTTAATGATAGGCTATTAATAACAGGCTATTAATAAAGGAACTACAGATCACTCAAAATAATTTGGCTCCCTACTCATTGAAATCTTAATCACTCTCATAGAATAATATATATATATATATATATATATATATATATATATATTGGTTCTCCCCTGGGAAATTACATTCAGAAATATGAGTTCTTGTCATCCATTTTGAGACTCTGATACAATAAATCTGGAGTGTGGCTCAGATTCTGTTCTTTCGCTGGATTTCTTTGCAAACTTCCAGTCTAACACTAACTTAAGGATCAAAATTCCTTGTCAACATTTCGTAGGAAGTGAGCTAATTGTTTACTGACCCCAGTTATAAAGCTGGGTCTTTTAAATAGATCCTTCTGGTTTCTACAGAGTGGTCCCCCCAAATTTCCCTCCTTAAAATTTCAGTTGGTGATTCTGCCTTTGCCTCCTGTAGCCACAGGAGGTGTTCTTCATCCACTTAATTCAGTCTTTCTCTAGTGACTGCAGTAAGCATCCCGGGTATAGTAGTCCTAACATCCTCAAGCTTTGTGCCAGTTTCCCTATTTCTAGTTGATTACTTACTGAGTCTGTGTGAGAGTGTGCAGAAGGGTGTGCGCATGAGAGGATACTTCTGGTGTTACGATGGTGTTAATTTTTTTAATTACACCAAACTTCCTAAATTATATACTTCTGTAGAAATAATGTAGCATGCCAAGCTAAAAAGAATACATATTGACTGTTGAAGGAAAATTCCATTCCCTTTGTTCAAAGTAATCCTCTTTGGTTTTTATGTAAGATGTGCTATGAGTGCTTTGTGGGGTTCTTTGTAGAAAGAGGAAACTTCATTGTGCGTCAGATTTTTAAGCCACTGGCAGGCAGAGAAGTTGATTTGTTTGCTTATTTTGAACTCGAGGAAGTCCCATCCATCTGCCCCTGCCCCTCTCCTTCTCTCTCACTTTCTCTCCTTTTCTTTCGTAGCTTAGTAGCCAAAACTCAACCTCAGGCCTGCCTGTACATTGTCTCCAACTACCTTCTGAGTTTTATTCTTTCTGTCCCTCTTCCAGGGCCTCTTAAGATGAAGTGAGAGGGATGAAGCCATTGTATTGCAGAACCCACGGCTGAGACACTGCTCCCGACTAACCCCAAATACTAGTTTGATCAGGAAAAGACTTCCTGCAGTCCAGAAATCCTGTTCTCAGCAGACATCAGTCCTACTGTGACCATATCTAACGGAAGCTATGTGTAGGCTGCGTGAAAATCTGGTTGCTGTTTCAAAACTTAACTATTATACACAACCAAAGCAAACTGTTTAAGCCTGAAACATTAGTACTAATATGTTTTATTGATTGGACAAAATATACATAGTGTGAGAGAGGGGATAATTACAAAGTTTTGACTAAGTAGACCATTGGTTCAGTCATTAAAATCAAGGGAGATGGTACCACCTATCATGGTACCCTATATGTCTATGCTTTCACTGCAGTCCATTTCAGAAGTAGGAATTACTGACTGGGAGGATGGAAGAGGATAGATAGGAAAGGAAGAATCACCCTTCTGTTTTCCAGCCTCCCTTTGCCCTTTCCTGGATGACAGTGAGTTGGAGCAACCTATTGGGGAACAAAAGACAACAAGGCAATGTTACACATGGCAGAACCATTGTCACATCAAAGAGTCGGGTCAGGGTTCCTCCACTGAGAAGCTGGGTATCAGAGCTACATTTTTTAAAAAATCCTACATGTGTATGTGATCTTCTGTTATCTTTCAGCACCAAGCACCCTAAATGCCCTGAGAATCCTGGTATTTTGTTATTTTAATTTTTCCTGGTTGGCTATACAACCTTCCCCTTAATAATGGCATCAAGGAGAAAGTGAAAGTTATATTTTCAGTGTTCTTTGTCTTTTACTACCAAACTCTAAAAGATGTATAAATGATGTTTAGCCAAAAAGGGCTCAAATTCTATCACTCAGCAGCAGTTGGTAAACATTAGCTGGGAAAGCTGATCGGCCCACTGCAGTGGAATAGAGAAAAGCATTCCGCAGGCACTCTTTCCATGAATGGGACAGAAAATAGTAGCAGGTCAAGTTTACAGGTAGTGAGGAACTGCATTTAGGAACATTGCTTTCCTCCCTGTGTTTCCTGGGAAGAAAAAAAATTTAAACTATTGAAACAGTAGTTATAGGACTGCTGTTTCTCACCTCCATGTTGATGAACCCAGAGTATGTGTTCCAGTGGGTCAGCTTTGTAGTAGGGTCTGTAAAAATAAATAGCAGTAAAAGCTTAAGTGTGCATTGGTTATTTTTCTTGTTGCTGAGATAAAATACCAAGCAGCAGTAATTTAAGGTAGTTTATTTGGGCTCAGGGCATCAAGAGATAATAGTCCATCGTGATGGGAATGGAGTGATGGAGCTGCTTCTTCACATGGTGGAACACACAGAGAAAGGAAAGAGCAAGAGATAATAATCCACTAATGACCTGCCCCAGTGACCTACTTCCTCCAGCCAGCCTCCCAAAATGGGAGGTGAGCTTCAACATGACCCTGTGGGGGCATTTCAGACTCAGACTATTTTATTCACACTCCTGGTTAATTTGATCCTGCATGATTTTGCATATTAAGCAATAGATAATTGTTCTTAGGAATCAGTTTTTATTAGCATCACCTGAGCTCCAGACAGGTTCACACCCTGCATCCTTTTTAAAGTACCCACCCATAGTCATGAAGCTGGTGGCCTGGCCTTGCGTGTTGTGCATCATTCTCATTGTACCTCTTTTTCTAGGTTTGCTCTGGAACTTGTCCTCTAGCGACAAACTCAAGCATCTCATGATAACAGAAGCCTTGCTCACCCTGACAGAGAGTGTCGTCATTCCCTTCTCGGGGTGGCCTGAAGGAGACTACCCCAAAGCAAATGGCTTGCTGGATTTTGATATATTCTACAATGTCACTGGATGCCTAAGGTAATGCCTTATAGTGCTTCCACCCCTTTGGGTAGAAGGTATAATCAAATTAACCACTCAAATTAAGCACCCAAAGAAAAGTCAAAATATATTCTATTTTGGATGCTTTCTGTAATTATGCAGTTTAGTTTTGACAGATTCTGCTTGGTTGATAACTGAGGAAATGTATTATAGCAAAATGTTTCTGCCTAGTTAATCACATTAATATATACCTGTCTTCCTCAGGGTCACCACTGCTGTGAAGAAACACCATGACCAAAAGCAAGTTGAGGGGGAGGGATTATTTGGCTTACACTGGTTTGTCATAGAAGGCATTCAGGACAGGAACTCAAATGGGTCAGGAACTCAAGCAAGGCAGGAACCTGGAGGCAGGAGCTGATGCAGAGACCATGGAGGGTGCTGCTTACTGGCTTGTTCATTATAGCTTGTTCAGCCTGCTTTCTTATAGGGATGGTATCACCCACAATGTACTGAGGTGTAATTGGGCATTTCTCTCCTGCCTGCCAGTTCCCAAAAACCACTCAGAGACTTAATATTAATTACAAACTGTTTGGCCTATTAGCTCAGGTTTATTATCAACCATCTCTTACAACTAAAGTTACCCATTTCTGTTAGTTTATATTTTAACATGAGGCTCGTAGTTTGTTGCCTCACATCTTGCTTCTCCAGTGGCTGCTGGAATCTCTCAGACTCTGCCCTTCTTCTCCTATATCTCTGCTTAGATGTCCCACCTGGTTCTATTCTGCCTGACTATTGACCAGATCAGTTTCTTTATTAACCAATGGTAATAAAAACATATTTACAGCATACAGTAGGACATCCCACATCACTGGAGCCTCCCACATCAATCACTAAGAAAATGTCCTGCAGGCTTACCTACAGCCTGATCTTCTGGAGGCATTTTCTCAGTTGAGGCTCCTCCTCTCCAGTGATTCTAGCTTGTTAGTTAAGTTGACATAAAACTAGTCAATGCAATATCAAATGTCACTTGTATTTAAAACATTTTATTCACTACTGGGGATTATACAGAGAATACGTAAATAATTTTACTTAATCACAGTTTAAATAAAACAGTAAATAAACCACAAACAAAAAAGGACTAGTCATCAAGTTTTTGGAGAGAATGAATGCACAAATATGTGGTAAACTGGGAGCAATCAATTCTGTAAGAGCAAAGGGCTGAGGCTCAAGAAAGAGTCTTACTTCCCATGCATGGCGCTTAGGTTGAAGCTTGTAGTAGTAGAAAGTCATCAAACCCAAGCTGGAAACATCATCTAAGAACAGGTTGCCGGATCACTGGGAGTGATACAAAGGAGCTAATTTTTCTTTTCTCTGTCAGCAAAATCAGCTGGTATCCCATATTAAACCCACTGAGTCAGAAATGGACTAAAGAAGAAAAATACAGTAGTAACAGGAAAGTTACACTGAGAAGATGATACTAGACTGTAGCACAAATTCTAGTTGGTATTAATAATAAAAACCTGGAGTCAGATGTTAGGAGGGAAAGCTGAAAGATCAGAGAAGCAAAGCAGCCAACCACTAGAGAGTTCCTACCTCTTCCAAGGCTCCTGTCCCCAGACTGCTTAGCTCCTGCCTTGTATTCCATCTCTAGTGCTAGGATTAAAGGCGTGCACCATCACTGCCCAGCATCTGGGGCTAGCTAACTAGTGTGGCTGCTGGAATTAAAGGTGTGTGCCACCACTGCCTGGCCTCTACAGATGACTAGTTTGGCTAGCTTTGTACTCTGATCTTCAGGCAAGCTTTATTTGTTAGATCATAAACAAAATATCACCACTCTAGACTAGTAGTGGGTGATAAAATCCAGTCAGTAAAGGGAGACAGCTGTGAATACTGAGCTAACAAGTGATTGTTGACATGTCATTGCAACTGAAAGACACTATGTTGTAGCTACAAACTAGCCATGAGTGTTTCCATGACAAAATTGATAGCTGCTGCACCCTGTTCCCCATGTCCCATAGCTGCTTTTGATAATTACTAGCATACTTTTTTGCAGAAGTTATTTTAGCATCAAAAAATAAATAGGTAGCATAGCCCTATTTCTCTATAAGCACACTTTTCAACAGTAGTTATGAGATCTGTGCTGTCTCCCCACCTGTTTAAAGGAGAAACCCTTTTAAAGCCATGCCCTCGTTTTAAACCTTTTTTGAGTTATAATATACTTGCATTTCTACCTTCCCTTTCCTCCAAACCCTCTCATATGCTTCTCCTTGCCCCCTTTCAAATTAATGGTCTCTTTTTTATTACTTGTTATTGCATATGTATAAGTATATGCATGTTTCTAACAACCTGCTCTGTCTATGTAATGTTACTTATAACTATGTTTTCAGGACTGACCATTTGGTATTGGGTTATCAGTTGGGTGTGCTCTTACTACAGGACTATTTCTCCTGCTCCCAAGGTTTCTTAGTTGCTTGTAGTTCTTTCTGTAGGGGTTAAGCATTGTGGGCTTCCCCCATCTGTATGTCAATTATTGTTGTCCTTGTTCAACTCATGTTTAGGCAGTCATATTGGTGAGAATTTATGCATGAGGCTTCTGTTATTACTAGAGACACAATCTCATAGCAAACTCCCTGATTCTCTGGCTCTTACAATCTTTTCTCACCCTATTCCACAATCTTTCTTGACGTTTAGATGCTGAAGTATTTTATTGACATATACATTGGGACTGAGACTGAGAACAATATTTTGATTGGTTGTAGTTTTCTGTAGTGACCTCCATCTGTTGTAAAGAGAATTCCCTTCATGAGGAGTGAAGACTACACCTATCTGGGTGAATAAGGACAAATGTTGATAGATTGTTGTTGGGGATTATGCTGGTTTAATAAAGTAGTGGTATTAGGTTCTTCTCCAAGATCTGTGACTTCACTATCCCTGGGTAATTGGCTAGGTTGCCAGTAGCAGGCATGTTTTCCTATTGTTGAACAGAGCTTAAGTCTAATTAGAGAACTGTTGGTTACTACCAAAGTGTGCATACCTCTATTGCTCCTGTGGGGTTATTGCGCCATGCTGATCATTGATGTGGTACATGGGCATCATAGCTGGGTAGGACTTTTGACTGCCTCCATCCTTTAGAAGATTTCATGGTACCAGAAGCTACCATGAAAACTACTCTTCGGGGAGGAAGCATTCAGGGGTCTCTGTGCCCTGTTTTTGAAGTTCATGATGTTTTCAGAAGTAGGAACTTAATTCCACCCCTGAGTGGCAACCAAGGGCAGTAGCAACAGGCCATATGTTTTGGAGGTCTCTTAAACAGTCATGACTATCAACTAAAAGGAGGATTTCTCGTGTCTGGTATTGGGAGTTTTATTAGTGGTATTTGGCTCTAGCAGGGAGTATTGGTAGCTCAAATGAGAAAAGTTCATTAAAATTACATGTGATTATGTAAATATATGCACAGAATTCCATGTATTTTCTCTTTTTGCTGTTTATTTTTGAGACTGTATTTTAATTACAACATTTCTGCCTTCCCTTTCCTCCTTCCAGACCCTAACATATACCCCTCCCTCTCTCTTCCAAATTCATGGCTTCTTTTTTCATCAATTGTTACTGCATGTGTATACGTATATTTCCTAAATATAACCTGTTGAGTCCACATGCATTTGTCACTGGACAATCAATTGGTGTGCTCTTCTGTGGGGAATGTTAACTCGCCCACTTCTGGCTTTACTTAGTTGCCTGTAGGTCTTTGTGTAGGGTTGAGGCCTCATGGCTTTCTCCCATGCAGTTTGGTAAGTTCATAGGTGTTTGGGTGGCCATGCTGCTAAGACTTTATGGGTATAGCTGTAAATCTGATATTACTAGAATCTCACAGAAAGTCACTGATCCTCTGACTATCGTAATCATTCTGCCTCCTCTTCTACAATGTCCCTTGAACCTTGAGTGTGGGAATGTTTTGCAGTTGTATCCATTGGACTGAACTCCACCATATTACTTGGTTGTGGTTTTCTGTAGTCATCTCCATCTGTTGCAGAAGTTTCCTTAATGAGGAGTGAGAACTATACTTACCTGTGAGTATAAGGACAAAGGTTTATAGACTGATGTTAGGGATTATGCTGAATTAGTAAATTGGTGGTTGTAAATTCTCCTCCAGTAACCATAACTTCACTGGCACTGATTAGGTAGCTAGGGTGCCAGTACCAGACATGGTTTCACTCTTGTTGAGTGAGTCTTAAGTCCAATTAGAGAACTGTTGGTTACCACCAAGGTATGTGTACCAATACTGCACCCAAAGGGTTATCTTGCCATTCTGGTCAGTGAAGTGGTTCATAGACATCACAGCTGATTAGGACTTTTTATAGCCCCTCTCCTCTGAAAGCATACATGGTACCTCAGCGAGGGTCCATTCACATCATTCAGTTTAGGGGTCTTTGGACCCTGTTTCTGAAGTATATGATGTCTTCATCCATAGGAACTTACCTTCTGCAACACAGGGGTAACCAAGGGCAACAATAGTGGACTTTATGTTTGGAGTGTCTCTCAGACAGCCCTGGTCAACCAGGCAAAGGGGATTCTCATGTCTTATGTTGGGGTCTTTGGGTTTTTTTTTCCTTTTTTAAATTAAAAAGAATTAGAAACAAGCTTCTTTTACATGTCAATCCCAGTTCCCTATTCCTCTCCTCCTCCCTTTCCCCCCACCAACTCCCTATCCCATCCCTTTTCTGCTCCCCAGGAAGGATGAAGCCTTCTGTGGAGGATCTTCAAAGTCTGTCATATCATTTGGAGCAGTGCCTAGACCCTCTCCCGTGTGTCTAGACTGAGAGAGTATCCCTCTATGTGGAATGGGCTCCCAAAGTCTATTCTGTACTAGGGATAAATACTGATCCACTACCAGAAGCCTGTTGGGGTCTTTGTTAGGTGGTCTTTGGCTCTTGAAGGAAAAGTCATCAGCTTAGATGAGAAAAGTTCATTAAAACGTGATATATGTAGGGCCATCCCAGCCAGGTGAGCTTGGGTCTCCGGGGGGACACTCCCCACCCTCC